CCTGTTTGGGGTAGGGGTGGACCTTCCCTGTACCACCTCTCTGAGCTGTTAGGAGTCCCCAGCGTGAAATGTGAGGAGCGGGTGGTCTGACAGACCAGAGATAGGCTTGCTGCCTCCAGGCAGGCAAACCCCGCTCCTCAGATGGCTGCCAGGCCCCGGGGCAGCCTGTAAAACCACCGCATCCAGACGGGTCAGGCCAGTTCCCTTTGGTCGGCCGTGGTGCTTCCTACCCAGGTGTTTGTAGGAGCCCAGCCTGACTGCAGAGTGAATCGAGTTCCCACAGCAAGTGAGGCTGAATGGGCACCAGGGAGGCCTTCTCTCCTCAGGGGTGGAACCCTGGGGCTTGAACTCTGAGCTGCCAGAGCCAAGACTTCTGGCTTGCTCTCTCTGGATGCCTGTGCTGAAGCCACCGGCAGATGGTGGCAGCAGGCAGTACATGCTCTCTGACCCCATCCCCCTGGTCTTCAGCGTCTGAAGATCTCACCTGTCTTGTTTCTTGGAGGCCTGGAGCTGTTCAGGGTCTGTGGGATAGTGTCTGCCCCTGCCCTCTCGCTGCGTTGTGAACTGAGCCCCTCACAGTTCACCTCACACTGGGTCTCTCACGGGAAAGCAGTGGCATTGCCCCGTTCCCTGGGGTGGGCTCTCGGGTGTCTTCAGTGGGACAGTTGCAGGGCGGGATTCAGGTGCAGGCTGCGTTTTCAGATTTCTCACCACCCCCGCTGGCTCTGGACTCCTAGTGTGGGGGTTTGAGGGCCACAGCTGGGCTGCCCTCCCCTGTCTGTGGATCCGAAAGTGGGGAGTCCCCAGGATGTTGGCCTGCCCGGTTCCTACTCTGCTTGGCTCCTGCATGGTGACTAATATCATTCTCACCACCACTCTTAAGTAAGGTTCCTTCTGATGTGTCTCTTTGGGATGAGGAATCTGAAGTTACAAAGTTAAGTAAGTTATTCATGATGAGCTTGGCATTTAAATCCAGGTCTGCCTGACTTAGAGCTTTGGCTTTTACATTGTACCAGCTCTGGGGGCTTCAAGAGATACCAGCCGCATCTTTATCTGGCTTTATCACAAGAATTTCGGCAGCTTCACCTCTCTGTTTTTCCATGAAGTAACATCAACTGAGTTTAAAAGAACAGTAGCTTGCCTTTGTGCTCTTTCTGCTTTTCTCTGATAGAAGCTTCAAGAAACTGAGAGTCCATGAAAAAGTATTATTCCTTTGAGAGATGGGGATTATTCCAAAAGAGATTGCAGAGGTGGGCAGTGCTTAGCTCGGTGCCAGCTGCGTGGCTTTAGGTGTAATTGTAGGGAGGTGGCTTGGGGCAGGGTCTTTCTTGACCCTCACCCAAGAGGCCACCTGGTCAGCTCTTGCCTAACTAAGACCACCGCCCCCCCCCCCCCCCAGGTATTCAGTCCCATTAAAAATAAACCAAACTGAAAAGCCAGAATTTAAAGTGCAGTGGTAAGAGAAGTTTCAGGAAGAGCATCGGGGTGGCGGTGGGGCATGGGTCCTGAACCCCTAAGGGTGAGGTGGGGGTGTGGTCTAGAGCCAGGTAATTTAGGGAGACCCACTGGCAGGGCTGAGGGCCACTTTCCACCCCAGTGCAGCCTCTGCTTGCAGGAGTGAGCCGGACTGAGTCTGCTCATTCAGGCCCCCACCCTCCTCCTCCATGCCCCTCGGGTGCCCATGGCCCATCTCCTCCAGGCCTTTGATCTGCTCTTGCACACAGTACCTTGGGGTGTGCTCCACCTGGCCTAGTGGGTGGTGGTGGTTATGTATAAGGTGCTGCTACAGTTTGAGGGCAAGCTCCCCCTTTTCTGTTTCTGTGGAGATGACTTCACCCAGCCAGGCAGACTTGTGATTTTGGATTCACTTGTGACTCAATGGGTCTTTGGCTCTGAGGACCACCAGCTAGCCACCGTGCTTCATGGCAGCTGTCAGACTGGTTTTCTTCAGTGAGAGCTTGCTTGACATGGTCTCGGCAAGCTGTAATATGCCCTGGGGAGTCTCTCCTAGGAACCTTCTCCCAAGGGAGCCCAGACTGCCTGCCCCTGAAGGATAGGGCTTCCCAAAGAAGAGGAAGGTAGTCCGAGAACCTAGGCACCCTGGTGGTGTGTTGGCAGTGGTAGGAAGTTCCTCGTTGAGCTAGTCTGTAAGTGGGAGAGACAGACGTCAGGGGGCTTGGCAGGGCTAAAACGGAAACCAAGCTTTCCTGGTTCAGTGGGATCTTCCCCCGTTGAGCTGCCCCCCCACCTCCCGCAGGTTAGAGGGGCCCTGGCAGGCTGGGTGCCCCCTCCACCCAGCCCCACCCCAGGGAAAAGCTGCTGCCGAAGTTCTCACACGTCCATGTGGCTTCAAAGCATGACTCACTCTCTTCAGCCTGGAGTGAGTGCGGTAGGCAGCAGAGACCCCAGCCACTCCTGGGGAGTGCCATGGCTGCCTTAGGCACCACATGAGAGCTGGGAGTTCTGCGGGTGGCGAGATTTGGCAGATTCAGGAGAGGCTCGCAGGAGGCCTTTATGCTTGATTTGGAAATGTGACTTGCACCCTGTGATTTAGAGGCTTCCCTGGAGCGTTAGCCTCAGGGACAGTGAGTGTCCCTGAGGGACTGGAGGGCTGAGAGGGAGATGCAAGAGTGAGATCCCCTGCGGGAAACAAGTTCTCAGGTTCTGGGGACAGCTCCAGAAAGTCGAAGGCTTCCCTCCTAATCTTTCATGTTGAGAGGGAAAGACTAAGTGGGACCAAGTATCCCAGAATCCCTGGGCCATGCATGTGGCCAGTCTACCAGCCAACTAGGGGTGGAGAACAGACCAAGTCCTTCCTCAGTCTGCTAAGAGTTCTTCATTGACCAGACTTAAAAACACCTCCCTCTGTTTGCTTTCCCTTTCCCATCTACCCCTCATTCTTCTGCACTTGGTGTCCATGTCCTTAAAGGCCAGGTGACCTCAGCCTTGGCCACCAGCCATTCCCAGGCTGATTGCTGTGGTAACTTGGGGCCTGTTGAGGGGCTTTGGCCCCTGCTCAGCTGTGTGGTCTGTTCACTGTTCTCCAGGCCTTTTGGGAGTGGAGGAGGCCTGGGTGCAGACTTCCCCAGGAAGTACAGATGTCCTTCTCCTTGTTCTTGCTCCTTCACCTCCGGCACAGGGGTGCCCTGCCAGTGAGGGAAGGGCCTGGGGTTGTAAGCACCTGGGATGCTTTTGAAGGTGAAATGAGGCATTGCTAATAAGCGTGCTGAGCAATCAGGGATGGGTGGTCCCCCTGATGAGAAGCAAGAGTCTTAGGGAGCCTAGCAGATGCCTGGAATTTTTCAGGAGCACTGCAGTCTGTGCTTCAGGAATGAATGGATTTGCCTTCTGTGACTCTGTGTCCTGCCTGGGGCTTGGTCTCTGGGTATGCAGGTCCCCGCACGTGGCCAGAGCAATGCCTGGCATGCTGCCTCCCTTTTCCAGTTTTCCAAGTTCTTTCTCAGGGGTGAGGGAAACCCACGCTGCCCTCAGCCTGGTTTTCAAAGCACTGTTTCTCAGCTAGTCTGGCTTATCTCTGGAGAGAAGAGACCCAGTGATCCCAGACACTGGCCCAAGGCCACAGGAGCTACTGAAAGGGCTCTGGACTCCCTGGGAGCCCTCAGGCTTGGGACTTTCAGGGTTAAATCCTGGCCCTGCAGGGACTGCTCCCAGCTCCTCTGGTGGAGTGAGAGTGAATAACAATAGCAGTAGGGAAATTAAGCTGAAAAGCCGGAGGGGGGTCGCAGAATGCTGGCGAGGGCAGAGCCCAGTCTGACACCTTACTTGGCATCACCTTGCTTTGTTGGAGTATAGGTAGAGATTGAACAGACCACCACGCGGGGAAGGGCCGGGGAGGCAACCCCCCACCCCGCCCCTCAGTTCTTCATTGCCTATGCCATGCCAGCTTCCTGTACACAGCCTACTTTGGCCTTTTTCATTTAGGAGACTCGGGGGCCCTAGGTATGTTGGAGGTGGGGGTGTCTGCCGTGCACATTCAGGGGGTGATGCCTGGTCATGGGCTTTGTCCTGGGGCTCTAGGTTTCCTATGATTCTCTCCTGCATCCTGCCCCTTTCTGACATCTTGCCTACCTGGAGGGAGTCCTGATAAAAAGGGCTGGACTAACATGGCTGAGTGGCTTTGTCCCCTGAGTCAATTCTTCCCTTTGGTACTTTCTTTTCCCAGCTCTTGGTGGCTGGTGGACTTTTAAGGCTGTACCACAGGTCTAGAGTGTGGTCCGTGGGTCTCCTACCTGGGAATGCTGGCCCCAACCTTACTGCCATCCCTCCCCCAGGTACTGGGCTGTTTGGAATCTGAACTAAGGTAGGGCTGGCTCCAGGGGCTGACTGATACCTCCCCTCCCAGGCTCCTCACAGCCAGGCCTTCACCCTTCAGGGGGCTTTGCAGCAATACCCAGGTTATGGCCATCCACTGTACTTGCCAGGCAGGTGTCCTCATAGACTGGACTTGGCCTTCTCCACAGCCCAGCAGGCAGGTTCCTCATCTCAGCTTCTCACTGTCCATCTCCTTATCCTCCTTGGCCAATCTCAGAGGCCTTGAGAAGGGGAAGGGGTTGATCATGTCTTTGAGGGACTAGATGAACTCTCACCACCCAAGCCCCTATCCTGGCTCAGTGTCCTCAGAGTCTCTTCCTGTCCTGGGATGAATATCCAGTGGGAGAAAAACAGGTGGAAACAGCTGCAAATTTTGTCCCCAGCGTTTTCTGCCTTCTGACTCTGGATTTGCATCACGCCGTAGGCTCCCCAGGTGCTTAGTTCAGAGGAGAGAGGGGTAGCCAGTCCATGCACAGCTGCTGGTGGCCTGACCCCATTAGACTTTTGCACTCTGGAAGAGGGGTCCTAAGAAAATCCAGGCTGGAAATACAGTGAGGGTAGGCCAGAGTTATTGCAGCGGGTGCTGGAAGGGCTTCAGTGGGGGAGAAGGCAGACCAGGGCAGGCTCCTCTCATTGCCTGCTTCTGTCCTGCAGGTTGGAGATACTCCATGACACACACTCGGAGGAAGTCTCTTCCCATGCTGAGTTCGGGCCCCACAGGCCGCCAGGAGCCCCTGCAAATGGAAGGCAGCAATGTGGAACAGCGGACAGAGGGCATGGAGCCAGGTCCTCCTGAGAGCCCAGAGCACCTTACAGGGCGCCGCAAGAACTACCCACTGCGGAAGCGCCCATTAGTTCCTGGGAAGCCCAAGACCTGCAAAGTGCTGCTGACCCGCCTGGAGAGTGTGGCTGGTCCACGGAGCGCAGATGAGGCCGATGAGCTGCCCCCTGACCTGCCCAAGCCCCCTAGCCCAGCCCCATCCAGTGAGGACACTGGCCTCTCACAGCCCCGCAAGCGGCGCCTGGCCTCCCTCAACGCCGAGGCCCTCAATAACCTGCTGCTGGAGCGGGAGGAGACTGGCAGCCTGGTGGGCACCCGCCGTAGCCGAGGAGGAGACGCCCACCGTAGCCGGGACCGCGACCGGGCCGCTGGAGGCTGGGCCTCCTCCAAGAAGCGGCCCCGGCTTGGGAACCTCGGAGAAGGAAGTCGGGACCTGTCTCCAGAGCCGGCACCGGATGAAGGGGCCCGCAGAGATGGTGATCCGACTCCCAAGAGACTGGCCAGCCTGAACGCAGCTGCCTTCCTGAAGCTGAGCCAGGAGCGGGAGCTCCCCCTGCGGCCGCCTCGTGCCCACCCTGAAGCAGATGGGCACTCTGTGGAGCCACCGGCACCCAAGGGCCTGAGGCCCAAGTGGGCCAAGGTCAATGGCAAGAACTATCCCAAGGCCCGACAGGGGGCTGGCCCTGGGGAGGCTGCAGGCCCAGGTTGGCAAGGATGCCCCGAGGAGCCTTGGCCATCCGCCCCTCCTTGTGGGCCCGTCAGCCTGCCACCTTACCAGCCCCTGAGCAAGGCTCTGGAGAGCCCCTTGGGGCTGCGCCCACACCTGCCCCTGCTGATGGGGGGCCAGGCAGCCCTGAAGCCGGAGCCTGGGCGCCCAGGCGAGGAGTCACCTGCCCCCAAGCAGGAACTGCACCAGCCCTCGTTCCCCACACCACAACTCTCCCCACTCCCGATGCCTGGCAACCCTGCTGACTACAACGGCCTGTATGGTCGGCCTGAGCTCACCGCATTGGGCAACTTCTATCTGTACTGCAGTCAAGACGGGCTGCAATGTGGGGGTTACTCTTCCTGCCCCATGCTCCCCGAGGGCAAGCTGTCACCAGTGGCTGCACCTAACGAGGGGCTTCTCTTGGCTCCAAGCTCAGTGCCTGCAGGCACCCCTTTCCAGCACCCTCCGTGGGGTTCTCGCTATTGCTCCGACGAGGATACTGGAGCAAATGGCTACAGCATCTGTGAAATGTTGTCCACGTCTCTTACCCACATAGGCACTGCCTGTGGCGGCTGCCCCTACAAAATGCCTTTTGCAGCAGGTACGCCTTCCTAGAGGTGGGGTATACCAGGGCATCTCTGAGATGTGGTATCCCAGGAGGGTGGGCCGTGGACTGGGGTGGGGTGCCTTGGCATCTAGAATTGCATGAGAAAGCAAGGGATTTTGAGAAGGGCAGATTTCCCTGATTTTGTGTGATCGGCCTAGGAAATTGGCAGGAAAGAGGCCCATGTTTAGTTCTCAGCAGCCCTGCTGTGTCCCCGCTGTCTATAGAGGTTTCTTGACTTGGCAGTTGGCAGCACTGTGGTGGTAGAAAGGGCAAGGACAGTCTCTCCTGCCTCCCCACTGGGATACCCATTCTTAGACTTTGAGTAGCAAGTTAGATGTTGAAATTAGCACTTTTGCCAGGTTGTTCCCATGTCACTTTTGCCTTCCTTGAGGAAAACTAGAATTCCTTATTTCCCAGGAACCCAGACCATCTGCTTCCGAACCAAGTGCAGTATCCATGGGAGGGATGGTGGATACCAGGCCTGGTAGGTGGGGCCAGCTGTATTAGGATAGTCTCATCCTGGCATTAGAGGCCTTGAAAGAGAAATAATGCTCAGACTTAGCATCGCCTTGCTAGGTGTGGACCAGGTGGGCACACCTGGAGAACAGACATGCTGCTTTGGGGGCCTATGGCTTTGGTGTGTACCTTCTCGGCAAGATCGGACACCTGAGAGTCTCATGCTGTAGCTGATGAGACAGCCCTAAGTGATCTCTCTGCCCCCAAACTGGCAGGAGTGTCCTCACATGCCTCTCCAGGCTCCCTTCGGGTAGAAATGATGTGACCAGAGCCATGCTGGCCAGCACATCTGCCGTGCTGCTGGTGAAGTGAGGGGCCATGCCTTCTCAGGGCTTTCTGCCTTCTCCTCCACAGCCCTTCTTGAAGGGGTCTATAAAACAACTTAATAGACCGCTTGACTCTGGCCAGACTGGTTGTTTCAGGTTCTGGTGTGAGTAGGAGCTCTGGAGAAATGAGAACAGGCTGCTTCTTAGGCTTTTATTTCTCTTCCTAAGAGAAGATACCACTCCCTAGGTTTAGTCACCTAACCTGTGGGACCCAAGACCCTTAGCCCTTTGCCCTGGGACACCAGTAAGCACCATGTGCCAGGTGCTTGTTCTTGGTGCTTTATATGTGGGAGGCCATATGGCATGTTAGTTAATTGAGCACAGACTCAGGCCAGACTGAAATGTTCTTCCCAACCACGTGATTGATCATGTGACAAACCAATAACCGCTCTGTCTCAGTTTCCTTAATTGTAAAATGAGAGTAGTGGTACCCACCGCATGGGCTTGTTGTAAGGATGAGATGAGTTGACAGAAAAATACCTAGGACACACTACATGATACTCGAAACTACTGCTTCTGTGGCAAGGCACTGAGGTAAAGTGACTTGCCTGAGGTCACACAGCTAGCGAGTGGCAGATCAGGGACTCACATCCTCATCTAGCTTCAGATCCCCTGCTCCCAAGCACTGTGGAGGCCTTTAGAAAAGGAATATTAAGTCAGAGCTAGAGATGCTGTTCCCATTCCACTCTTTCAGGCTAGAAGAGGAGATGGAGATGTCTGTGGGCCAGTCTCCAAGGTCAAGGAAAACCCCTGGCAGTCACTGATCATCTACCTTAAGGGCCTCTGACCCACTTGCCACCGCATTGGCCTTTGGGTTCACACTTAGAATCAAGATGGAAGCAGGCTTCCCTGATTATTCAGTTGGTAAAGAATATGCCTGCAATGCGGGAGACCTGGGTTCAATCCCTGGGTTGGGAAGATCCACTGGAGAAGGGAAAGGCTATCTACTTCAGTATTCTAGCCTGGAGAATTCCACGGACTGTATAGTCCATGGGGTCGCAGAGTCAGACACAACTGAGCAACTTTCACTTTCAGGCTCTGCAAGCAGAGGTGCTGGGGATTCATTGCTTGTCCTTACCTGCCTTGATTCCCTCTCTCATTTTCCCAGAAGGCTGCAGATCCCTGGGCCAGCTGGAATTTCCTCTCCCGGCAGCCGGCCACCCTGCCTCACCTGCCCACCCCCTCCTGGGGTGCCCTGTGCCCAGCGTGCCACCTGCAGCAGAGCCCGTCCCCCATCTTCAGACACCCACCTCGGAGCCCCAGACAGTAGCCCGCGCGTGCCCTCAGAGCGCCAAGCCTCCTAGTGGCTCCAAGTCAGGTCTGCGCACGGGCTCCAGCTGTAGGCACACCGCGCGGAGCAAGGCCGCCCGCAGGCCCAGCCACCCCAAGCAGCCTCGTGTCCAGCGCCCACGCCCCCGCCGCCGCCGCCGCCGCCGCACTAATGGCTGGGTGCCCGTCGGGGCTGCCTGCGAGAAGGCCGTCTATGTCTTGGTGAGCTCCAGCTCCCAGCCAGTGGGGAGGAGGGAGGGTGGTGGCAGGGACACAGGATCTGCAGCAAGCTGGGTCCCAGGCACCCCTGTCTCTGGCCACTCTGAGAGGTGACAAGGGGTTCCAGCTCAGTTTTACCCTGGGGAAATGATCACACTGGCCCAGCCTGCTCCCCCAGCCCCTCCTGATCTGGTGCCCTGTGCCATGGGGAGTCGGGAACACACAGTCACAGCTGGTGGCTGCCGTCTCCATCACTGACTCTCAGAGAGGCCTCCTGATGAGCCTTCACCTCTCATCCTGGATTGTAAAGTAGAGGACTTCTCTGGAGACTTTTTGGATAAGTATGTACAGGGGAAATGGGGATAGGCATAGGAAATTAGTGACACAGGAATGTCTGGGATGATGAGAAGAATGTCAGCTAAAGTGTATTGAGCACTTCTGAGGAGCCAGAACTGAGTGAAGTTTTTGCATGCATTATCTGCTTTCATTCCCGTCACTGCCCTGTGAGGTACGCCGCGCCCTGTGGTCCTGTAACTACCCTCATTTCACAGATGAGAAGACAGGCTTACCAGTAGATTTAAGTAATTTACCCAAGGCTTCACCACTTACTGTGGTGGTTTAAGAGTCAAACTCAGACTGTCCATTAGGAAACTTGAGGACCGCCTGGTGCTGGGGGCTTGGAGCGCGAAAGCCGGCTGTCAGGGGTGAGGCATTCAGACACAGCCCCAGAAGTTTCGAGTCACTCAGCTTTGCTCTCATTATCGTCCTTTCTCCCACTCTGCCCCGAAAGCCAGGCTCAGGGAGCGGGGGGCAGAGCGCTCACCGCTTTCGTAGTCTGCTGCCCTCAGTGGTTTGACGGCTCTGAGAACACAGAGGGAAGCAACGTCACTCGCTCCCTGTGCTGAGAGTAGCCCCACAAGCCTTGTTTGTGTCACTGGTTTTTTGCTCAGGATGAACCGGAACCAGCCATTCGAAAGAGCTACCAGGCAGTGGAGCGGCATGGAGAGACGATCCGAGTCCGGGACACTGTCCTGCTCAAGTCAGGCCCTCGAAAGACGTCCACACCTTATGTGGCCAAGATCTCTGCCCTCTGGGAGAACCCCGAATCAGGTATCCCCTGCCTAGAGTTCAGCCGGGCACTAGTGTCCCGCGTTCTTAGCAGAGTCTGCCTCCCTCTAAGCCAGCATCTAAGCTCAGGGCTGCAGACAGCCTTGGGCTTGGCCTGGGTCAGCTCATTAACCTTTCCAGCCATCAGGACTGGGCACCCGTCACCCTGCCTCACCTGTCAGTGCCTTTTTCTCCTTCTTCCTCCACGCCTAACAGCATTCTCGGCCACTGAGTTACCAGACTTGGCCCAAGGTAGGGGATGGGGTGGCTGGAGTTCACAGGATTGGCCCAGGCTTTGAAGTTGGATGAGCCTCCAGGGCAGGTGGCCAGCCCGCCTGCCCATCTCAGTCATTCTGGAGTTGCCAGCTCAAGCCCTGATTGCTTCTGTTTCCCTCAGGAGAGCTGATGATGAGCCTCTTGTGGTATTACAGACCAGAGCACTTACAGGGTGGCCGTAGTCCCAGCATGCACGAGGTGAGCTGCCTGGCGGCGGGGAGGCAGGGGCATGGAGAACACGGTATGGGGCAGCAGCCTGGCTGGTCTGGTCCCTGGACTTGTCACCTTGGACACCAGAGAACCTGGGGAAGGGCCTGAGTTGTAGCCTCTTTTCCTAACACTGCCCAGTTCATGTTTCAGTGGGTCTTTTGTCCTGAAAGGTGGGGGGCAGGAAGGGGGCCCCCAAGGCAGAGGGTGCCAGAATGGGAACAAGTATATACGTCCTGGTGACAGGAAGGGGGAGCGCACACCTTTAGTGTCGGCAGCGTGAGAGGGAGGGGAGGAAAGACTCTCCTGACACACCTGGGTGTCTCCCAAGCCCTGCACTCAGAGAGGTGATGCCATCTGGGTGTGGCTGCTCCACCCCCAGACTGGACTCCCTTTTGCTGTTTTTTCCCTTGCTGGGACCTTTTTCCTCTAACCGGGAGGATGTGCACCAGTTCCTCTCTTCTCCTCTGGGCTGGGGTTGGGGTCAGGAGACTGATGTTAGTCAGGGGCTGGAGCAGGCACCTGTCTAACTCCCGAGAAGGACAGGACCTAGGAGGAATGCCCTGGGCTGTTTGATGAGAACAGTTAGGCTGAAATTCCAGGGAAGCTCCTTGGCTTCCTGGGCGCTAGCTGGCGTTAATCAATCTCGGATCAGGAGTCCCAGCAGAGTTCATGTCCATCTTGCTCTTGGAGTTAGGTGCTTCCCACCCTGGTAGCCAACCTCCTTCTGTCTCCCCTTGAGCCTTTGCAGAATGAAGTGTTTGCATCGCGACATCAAGACCAGAACAGTGTGGCCTGCATTGAAGAGAAGTGCTACGTGCTGACCTTTGCCGAGTACTGCAGGTGGGTGGTGCCCTGTGCCTCTGGCTTGCCTCTCCCCTCAGGCTCCCCAGACTTATTTGTGGGTTGCCTGTGATCCCCAGGGGATTTGACTCATTGGACCTGACCTCCTAGAACTTTTTTCCAGTCTGCTTCCTTCATCTGATTTTTATAGGAAAAGAAAGAAAATTGTTCCCCTTTTGAGGCAGAGTGAATTGGGACAGAGTTTCAGGGGTGGGGATGGTTACGGTACTGCTGTCAGAAGGAAATCAAGGAGAATTGGTAGGTGTTTGGTAGGGAGGTTCGGAAGGTGTGGGTCCCCAGTGACCAAGAAGATGGACTGGTGGTTGGCCGAGAGGGCATAAGCCCCAGGACAGGGATGGAGGCAGCAGCTGCCCTTGTGGAGGCGGGAGGGGATGTCCAGCTCTCTGGGCAAGGTGGGGAAGGAACTGGTCTTCCTGCTAAGACAGCTGTGAATGGTGTGTCACTGCAGATTCTGTGCCATGGCCAAGCGCCGGGGCGAGGGGCTCCCCAGCCGAAAGACCGCACTGGTGCCCCCATCTGCGGACTACTCCACCCCGCCACACCGCACAGTGCCCGAGGACACAGACCCTGAGCTGGTGTTTCTTTGCCGCCATGTTTATGACTTCCGCCATGGCCGCATCCTCAAGAACCCCCAGTAGCCTCCTCACATCCATGCTGGGGCTGCCCACGGGCAAATGGGGCTCAGGGCAGGGGGCACTGCTTGAAGCACAGCACTTGGTTAAGGGGCCACAGGAGCTCGAGGTGGCTGGCCTGTGGTTCTCTTGTGGGGGAGGGCAGGGGCCCCTGTGGGGTTGGGCCCCATGGGAGGGAAGGGGAGGCCAGGGTATAAGAAAAGCATCAGAACCCTCAGCTTGGCCCAGTTTGCCTCCCTGGGGTCCATGGGTAGAGGCTCCTAAAGAGGCAGTCTTCCCTGAGGCTGGCCAAGCCTGAGGGGCATGGGCCCTGAAGGGACTGGGGGAAGGTCCTTCAGGAACCATGCCCTTCTTTATCCTCCCCTGGGCCCTTCAAGGGGGCATGGGAGCCAGCTTACCTCACCCACTGTGACCCGCTGCCTCCCCATTAGCCTGGGACCAGGCTCTCCCAGATTCTAGCACAGCTCCGAGCCCATTCCTTTGAGGCCTGGAGAGCCAGCGTCTGGCTCCCAGAGCGTTGACTTTTTCTTCCTGGACTTGGGGCCTTTCTCTGGCATTCCTCCTTTGCCCTTGCAGTAGCCCTTGGTGCTGGGACAAGTTACCAGCCCTCACCGTCATGGGTGTGGCCCCCTTGTGGGAGTCAGCTTCCTGTCCACCTCCTGGTGAAGGCCACCCAGCAGGTCTGGCTTCCCAGAAGTTAACTGATTAACGCGGGCTTTGTCATGTCTGGGAGAGCAGAAGGGAGCTGGGTGGGGGTGGGGGCAGGGGGCAAGGAAAATTGCTACCTGATTTATTGAAGACTTCTCCTCTTGCCTTACACTTGGAGGTTCTAGGAAACCTCTTGCAGAACTTCACACATGACTCTTCAAGCCACACCCACCTGAAATCAAACCAAAGGAGTGCTGTGGCTCCCCTTGCCCCCGACACCCCTTTCCCTAGTCTTTTGTAGATTGCACTAATTTACATCCCAGCAAGAATCAACACTGTATCAGTCCACAGACCTGCTGAGCTGCAGCCACTCACTCTAGGAGCTAAGGACCTGCGTTTTTAGTTTATTCCTGTTGCCCAGGGGCCCTGTTCTCACCTCATGCTGCTCCCCAGAGTAGATGAGGAGGCTCACCCCCCTGCTGTCCTTGCCAGGACTAGGCCCTGGCCCTGGAGCACTCTGGGGGGGCTGGAGCAGCCTAGTTTTTTCCTATTTGTACCAAAGAGGAGCCTGACGGGGAGAGGGTGCGTGGCTTGGGCCTGGCGCTGGGCGCATGCTCAGCAATTCTGCAGGGCACCACCTTGGGGACAGGAGCCAAGGAGGGCAGCACTGGGTCCTCCTCCCCTAGAGAGGGGCAGACATGGACCCCACAGGCTGAGGAGGTGGCACTGGGTGAGGACAGTTGGGCAGGAGGTGGAGGCAAACCCTGAGGACACGCCCAGCAATCCCCCAGCCCTGCCCTGTCCCTGAGCAGAAGGCTCCTCCTGTTTTAGTCACTGGTCTCAGGTGAGGCCTGGACCATTCAGAGGTAAATTCACACATGGGAAGCCCAATCTCAAACCCCAAGGGAAGAAACTTGGGTCCCCTCTTACTGAATAAGCTGTTTGGAGGAAGACATCAGTCCAGGAGGGTGGGGCAGTAAGAGAAGGTGGCAGAGTCGGGGCTGCTAAGGAGCCCAGCCTCACCCAGCAGGAGGAGATCAGGCCTCCTCCAGGGAGGCGAGGTCTACTGCCCAGAACTTAAATGCTTTTGAAATCTCTTAGATGTGGAAATATTTTTTCGAACCTGAAAATGCAGCTGGTAGAATTTCAGTGGAAGCATAATTCATGTAAAATATATTTTAGTTGATATTTTGTAAAATGCACTTTTTGTGTGTGTCGACCCTGGTTTCTCAGATCTGTATTTCAGTGTTTACAAGGGAGGGAGGACCTTTCCTCACCTCCCTTTTGACAGAGATTAGAAGTACTTCTTTAAGAAAAAAATAAATTTGAGAAATTGTATTGATTTAGAAAAGGACCATTTTCTGCGTGTCCTGTCATCTTTTTGTGTGTGGGCTCACACAGAGGGGCTCACTCCTCTTTATTTGGGGGGCTCCTTCTTAACCATTGCAGTGCAGGGGCTCACTGAGGCCAATAAGCCAAGGGCAGAGGAAAGGAGGGGGCGTGGAGAGCAGCAGGAGGCGAGGACACAGGGAATGGCAGGTTGGAGTTGACTTCTTCACATCCTGGTAGCTGGAGCCAGCTGCCTGGGCTGAGGGAAATCCATGGGTCGCCAGTTCTCACCTGGCTGGTGACCTGGGAACTTGCCTCCAAGTGGTTGCATGGTGAAGATACTACCATCATCATCACCTTCGGTCATGCCCCTGGAGAACTGGTCAGCAAAAACTGTTTGAGGGCCTTGGCCTCTTGAAACTGTCACTCGTGAGGAATTGAAGGCCACATCATGAGGCAAGGACTGAAACCTCCTGGACCATTGGTTCAGTCAGTCCAGCCCTTGCCCCAAAGCCTGTGTTGACTGTGTCCAAGGTGGGACAACTTCTAAGACGGGGGGGGGGGGGGGGGGAGGGCGTGTTCCTTGGAGGCAGTTAATGCTGCTCAGCCATCTGCATTTTGTAAGCACGTCTGGGTAGGTGCATTTCCATAGAGGTTATTGGTGACATGAACACCACCGTGGACGTACTGTAGCACTGACCTCAGTATGCTACCCACAAGAGTCCCGTGAGGTGGGCGTATCCTATCATTTTACAGACAGGAAACTGGTGTGGAGACAAGTATTTTGTCTAGGGACTCCTTTAGAGTAAGTGGCTATTCCTGTATTCAGACTGCCTCACTGTGACTGCTAACAGAAAACTGCTCAGAGAAATGAACACATGTGACCCATTTAGCAAAAACTTTCTCAAAGTTGTTTTTTCCTCTCCTGGTATAAAAGATGTTTAGTCACTTTAGTCGTGTCTGACTTTTGCGATCACATAGACTGTGGCCCGCCAGGTTCCTCTCTCCATGGGATTTCCTAGACAAGGCTACCGGGTTGCCATTTCCTTCTCCAGTGGATCTTCCCAACCCAGGGGTCGAACCTGCGTCTCCTGCATTGGCAGATGGATTCTTTACCACTGAGCCACATGGAAAGCCCATAAAAGATGTACTTGTTTTCTTCTTTTTTTTTGTTAAAGATTTCAGTAGAAATATTCCCACTACCAGAAATCTACCTTCAGTGCTCTTGGAAACAAGGAGCAGTTTAGTGAGGAGTGAGCCCTGATGGCAAACTTCTAAATCAGTGAATGGTGCATCCTGAGTTGCACTCTAGCATTCAGACTGGGAGTAGGGAGTTTGCTCTGAGGAGCTGAAGGCCTCTAGGCTTCCCATTCCTGAGGACTCCTCATCCTCTGAATTCCTCTCATCACTCACTAAACTCAGAGCCTCTGGCATCTTCTTTGCCATTGCCCCCTCAGTACAGTGTGTTCTGGGGTCAGCTGCTTTCTCCCTCCACATTTGTGCTCCATTAACCTCAGAAGGATTGTGATTGGGAATTTAGGTTTTAGAATCAGACCAATCATGTAGAGTCTCAGCTTCCCTGAGCCTGTCTTGTTTCTTGAGCTGTTCAGTGGGAATGCGCAGTGTGGCTGTGACAACTAGAGATAATGAACACAAAACACTGATGACACCTGCCTCAACAACTGTGGACACTACTCTGTTTCCGAGCCTCATTGGCTGCCCACTTGTAAGAGTGAAGGGTGGATACAGTTCAGATCAGTAAAAACTGTCCACTGACATCCAAGTCTTTCCCTGTCTCTGCCTCTAGTCTACATGGCTAGCCTGGTGGGGTTGAGCACACAGTTTGGCTGCAGGCAAGAAGTTGCTACTCAGTGGCCCCAGCTCCTCACCCTTCAAGTGTGTGATGATCACACCGGTAGTCATGAGGTACCAACTTGTCACCGGCCCCTGACCAGAGAGTGTCCCAGCTCTTCAGGCCTGGAGGAGGGAAGACAGGAGAGGAGAAGATTCCATTTCAAGACATCTAAGCATTACCCAATGGATAAACACTAACGACTAGGTGCTGTTTTAAATCTTAAGGGTAACCATAGAGCTGATCCATTGTCACTGCCTGACAGTCTAGTTGCTTTTTATTGGAGTAGCCAGGACACAGCAGATAGGGGAGCACACTGGGACCTCCAGAAATTTGGGACTCGGCGGGGAGAAGGGTGCAGCGGCCCCTTCCCTCCAGACCCGTTGGAGTAAGGGCTCGGCCGGGTCAGAGGGTGTGGCGGCCGGGCATTGAGTGCGGGTTCTGTCCGTCCAGCTTCCTGAGCACACGCTGAGCGGGAAAGGGAACCACAGCCTCGGTCTTTTCTGCCTTTGGGGTCTCGGCAGCTTTTGTGCCGGAAGGCTGGAGGACCAGAGCCACCCTGGCTCAGGCGCCCTTTCCAGGGTAGGGGTCCGCACGCCCCCTCCCAGCCCGCTCACTGCAGGGGGGCCCGCCCCTCTCCCCGCCCCTGGCCTGGGCCCGCCCCCGCGCCTGTGTCACTGCGGGGCAGGGGGAGGAGAGCGGCCGGGCGGGACATCCGGCCCAGGTCCCTCGCCGCGCCCGCGCGCTGCCCGCTGCCCGCCGCCCGCCGACCGCTTCGGCGCCGCATCCTGGGAGTGGGCCACCCTGCGCGCGCCGGGGGCCTCCAGCCAGCGCTGCTCTCCCCGATCCCTTCCGGGCTCCGCGGGTCCAAGCCCTCGGGCCCGCCCCCAGCCCGAGCCCGCCTCCCGGACAGCCCTCGGATCAGCAGGGCCCACGCAGGCCCCCGCCCCGGGAGCACGATGTTCCCCCGCCCGCTGACCCCGCTGGCGGCCCCAAATGGCGCCGAGCCCCTGGGCCGGGCGCTGAGGCGGGCGCCCTTGGGCAGGGCCCGGGCTGGGCTGGGCGGGCCGCCCCTGCTGCTGCCGTCCATGCTCATGTTCGCGGTGATCGTGGCTTCCAGCGGGCTGCTGCTCATGATCGAGCGGGGCATCCTGGCCGAGATGAAGCCCCTTCCCCTGCACCCTCCCAACCGTGAGGACGCGGTCGGGCGCGAGACGGTCCCCAGGCCTGGGAGGCTGTCCCTGGATGCGGGCGACTCGGACCTGCAGGTGAGGCAGGACGTCCGGAACCGGACCTTGCGGGCAGTGTGCGGACAACCGGGCATGCCCCGGGACCCCTGGGACTTGCCGGTGGGGCAGCGGCGCACCCTGCTGCGCCACATCCTCGTGAGTGACCGCTACCGCTTCCTCTACTGCTACGTGCCGAAGGTGGCCTGCTCCAACTGGAAGCGGGTTCTGAAGGTGCTGGCGGGCGTCCTGGACAACGTGGACGTCCGCCTCAAGATGGACCACCGCAGCGACCTGGTGTTCCTGGCCGACCTGCGGCCTGATGAGATTCGCTACCGCCTCCAGCACTACTTCAAGTTCCTGTTTGTGCGGGACCCCTTGGAGCGCCTTCTCTCTGCTTACCGCAACAAGTTTGGCGAGATCCCAGAGTACCAGCAGCGCTACGGCGTGGAGATCGTGAGGCGGTACAGGGCTGGAGCCGGGCCCAGCCCTGCGGGGGACGATGTCACCTTCCCTGAGTTCCTGAGATACCTGGCGGATGAGGACCCCGAGCGCATGAACGAGCATTGGATGCCCGTGTACCACCTGTGCCAGCCTTGCGCGGTGCGCTATGACTTTGTGGGCTCCTATGAGCGGCTGGAGGCAGATGCCAATCAGGTGCTGGAGTGGGTGCGGGCACCGCCCCATGTCCGATTCCCAGCTCGCCAGGCCTGGTACAGGCCAGCCAGCCCCGAAAGCCTGCACTACCACCTGTGCAGTGCCCCACGGGCCCTGCTGCAGGACGTCCTGCCCAAGTACATCCTGGACTTCTCCCTCTTCGCCTACCCACTGCCTAATGTCACCAGGGAGGCCTGTCACCAGTGACCATGGGTGTGGGCCAGTAGTTGTTGGGGACTGGTTTTGACAATGCCAGCTTCTGTGTTGCCATACAGTGAAACCTTGGCTCCAGCGTTTCTCTTTGTCTAAATGCCTAGCTGGAAAGGACTGCCCTTGGAAGTTTCTTGTCCAGGGCGGGTGCCCACAGTGGCTCAGACGACAAGGTTGGATGGGTGGCCTGGTGCTCTCCATAGGGGCGTTTCTTGGGAGCCAGTGTGATCCTTCTTGCCCTGCCAGGGCAAGATACCAGTTTTTCTAGTGAAGCAATACATCTCTTCTCAAGACCGGCTCCATGGCCCTGCCTGCAGGGATTTTACTGATCAAGTGATCAACCTTAATTTAACCTGTAGCCAAACCCAGAGGTGGTGCCAACCAGGAGCATGACCGGAACTGGGGGCCATATGGCTCTGATCTCCCATTCATCCACTTCATGTGCCTTAGGGCTGGAGTCAGTTGTGCCTTATAAACGACTTCTGTATCGTTCTGCTTCAGACTTAGAATTTCCTATACTTGCCAGGTTCTTTCCATTTTTTCCAAGGAAAGGTAAACTGAAAGGGCCCCTACCTGGTAGCTCCAGTACCTGGCTCTGCAGCATCCAAAGACCCCTGTGCCCAGCCTCTTCTTGGGACTCTGGGCACTTTCTCCCATCCCCCAGGGTTGTGACTGTGGCTGGTGTATCTGGCTGCCACTTTTCTGATGCATTTATTTAAAATTTGTACTTTTTGATAGAACCTTTGAGAAGGCTTTGTTTTCCTAATAGCTGAATTTTTTAATAAAGTCATTTTGTGTACAAGGTCTGTATCTCTGATTCTCCCTCTGAGCTCCTGTGTGTCCACCAAGTCCCTCTGATGTCCCTCTCCCCAGGACAGGGGAGGGAGCTTGCAGTAGACAAAGTTGTCACTTGCTAGGGCTTGTGCAGTGGGCCATCGTCATGCCACAGAGCCTTTGAGAGCTTCCTATAAGCCATACCAATCACTGACTCAGCTTCTGGGGCGCCACCATTAAGAAAGGCCTCAGGCCTCGAGCACATCTACACATTATTCCCTGAAGGTAAGTAAAGATATTCCTCCTCTTAGGCAGGCATACTTCTTGACTGAGGAGGCCCTCAGTTGAAAAGGGGGATCATTGCATGAGCTGGGTGAGGTTATTCCTGGCATTGAGAATTATAAGGAAGGCAAGGAGGTTGAGTGGAGGGGCCAGCTTTTTCTGACTTAGATTCAGAGGAAGTTGTGAGCAATGTGGGAGGAGTATGATCAGGTAGTAGAAGACAGGCCTCAGTGTGACTCATTCACCTTCTGCTCTCCAGAGACCCCCAGACCCACCAGGGGATGGAGAACAGGAGGCAGGGCCTGCCGAGCCCCTGGGAGAGATTCACGGTCAGAGCTGGCTCTAGTCCTAGTTCATACATCCCCCATGGGAACTGCTGTACTTCAGGGGCCTGGGGCTGTGGTGAAAGGTGATGCCTGAGGGAGGGAGGGAGGGAGTTGGGAAGGGCCTCCTTGCAGATGTCACTTTTACCTGGCCTTGCTATTGGCCTGACTTTGGAGAAGTAGACTAACCACATTTGGGGGAAGGGGCTTCTTTGGGCACTCATGTTTCTTTGCCATAACTCAGCAGGAGGCCTTAACTGATCCCCTATGTGGGATCCTCAGCTCCTGGAGGTTCTACCTCAGATAGCACCTACCACACTCACCACATCTGCCCAGTTACTTGTCAGTCTCTCCCACCGAGAATGTGAATTGTGTTGAAGGTGAGACTGAATCTGTCCTGTTCACATGACATTTCCAGGACCTAACCCAAGGGACCAGCAGGAGGTAGATGGCCTGGCAGAACCAAGGTGGACATCTTGATGCAGGATAGAGAGTACTGTGCTTGGAGTCATCTAGCCTGATTGAGTCCCACCTCTGCTCCCCACCAGCTGCCCAACCATGTCTCTGACCCTCCCTGTGCTCCTCTGTATCATGGGAATAATAATGCTTATCTTACGTAGATCTCACACGTAGATCACTGTGAGGAGTAACAAAGACAAAATGAGTCAAAGGGCCCAACCCAGCACCTGGTTCGATAGATGTTCTCTGAAATGCTAATTGAACACCTGATCCCTCGGAGGCCTATGGTGACAGGGAGAACCCAGAACACTGTGTCCACTCAGCACTGGAGATCAGAGCTGCCTCTGGGCAGGGCCCTTTGGCCCTTCACTTCCTCTGCCAACCGATCAGATCTTCTCTGAGCTTCCGGCCCTTCAGGACCTCCCACCCCTACCCCCACCCTCATCCCCACTCTGTCCCCAGTCTCTTCTTCCTTGGCTGGGAACTGCAGTCCCAGATCCAAGGCAGCTCCTTAGTCTCCCTCCCAAGGCCCTGCAGCATAGAGCCCAGCTGCAGTGTTTGCCTCATCTCCTTTCAACCCCACAACAGCTGGGTGTTACAGGTTTTAGCCTGTTCTACAGATGCAGAACCTGGCACAGAGAGAGTTAAGTATCCTGAGTGAAGTCCCTCCCAGGGACCTCCCAAATTGTAGGGGCATGGGTGTGCAGAATGACAAAGGGAGAGAGGGAGTAGAGAGAAGAGAGGATGGAAAGGTTAAGGAAGATGAAGGAGGGTTGGGGGTGAGGATGTGGGTGGATTTAGGGGCATTCACACACATTCTACCTCCGCAGTTCTTTCATTCCTTCATTTGCAGAGAACCCAATTCAGCCCAGCTGACATTTGCCAGTCCTTGCCCTGGAGGAGATGCCATCCTTGATGTGGTTAGCTTATTGGCTACTCTCTACTAGGCAGAGAAGGGTGCCAGGCCACAGAGCATCCTGACAGCCAGAACCAGAAACCTTGTGGCATGGGGAGGAGGGTTTGAGGTAAAAGAGGGCCTGCTTAGATGAACTGCCACCTTCTGTCCTTTTTCTCCCTAGAATCGGCCCGTGAGGAGCTTCACTGGTGATCTACCTTTCCTTTCAGAAAAATGGACTTCTTCAAAGAAGCTGCCACGGAGGTGGCAGAGTTGTGTGGTGCGGCTAGTCCTAGTGGGGCTTGCCTTATATTAGGGACCCAGGCCAGAGCCGGGGGTATGTGGTGAGCTGTGGGTTGTCAGGGTTGGGCCGAGGGCATTCTCAGGACTAGACACCTGGGCTGTGTCTACTCAGGATTCCCCCTTTCACTGGGTGCCCCCTCATCCCCACATGGAACGAAGCCCTCCGCCACTGCCTGGTGACTCTGAAGACAAAGCCCCCTTTAAAACTCACTGCATCCCTACCACTGAGTCCTCTTGGGCACAGGAGCATGAGGCTGGCAGCTTAACTTCTCTCAGCTGAGGGTTATGAACAAAGGAAAGAGGAGGAACCCAAAGGGGCCTGGCCTTCTGGGTCTGGGTCTGGGTCCTCCAGGATCCAGTTCTGATCCATCTTTCATCCATCTGAAGCTACTGCCTAGAAACCATGTCACCTTAAATTCTAAGGTCCTTTCCCCCTCTGCTTCCCACCTCTGTCCCACCCATCACACAGACCCTCTGCAGGAAACACCCAAGTCCAAGTGGAACCACTGACCCTCCCCCTGGGTGGATACAGAGCCCTCACCTTTCCCAGGGGCCAAAAGGAGAGCAAGCCTGCTGGCCCCCTCCCAGGGTGAATCCAGTGCTTTTATTTATTTATTGAACCAGTCCCTGGCTGGCCTCAAACATGAGGAAAGACATTCTTTCTCTTCCTAAAGGGAAATAAGAATTCACAATGGCTACTCTGAACTGAGAGTACCTGTGCCAGCCACGCAGTGGAGTACTTTAACTCATCATCCTCTCCCTTCTGACAACAACCCTACAAGGTACGTAAAAGTGTTCTCATTTTATATATGAAGAAAGTAGGACTAAACGACTTACCCAAAGAGGTGGTGGGGCTGAGATGAAAACCCAGCTCCATCAAGTGTTTGGTCCTCCATAGATGAACATGCATCACAAGTTACCCAACTCATTGCGTTTGCTGCAAAGCATCGTGTTCGTTTTCTCTAATTTTTGAGCCCTTTTCCTCCAAAGCTCCTTCCAACACTCCCCAAGGAATTCTGTTTGCAGGCCTCTCCAGCTATTATAAAATTCTCCGGAATTGTCCACCCTGAGAATCTACTTTCCAGTAGATCCAGTTGGCTTTCAGTTTGGGTCTTCTGAGAAGCAGATACCAAGACAGAATTAGATGTGCAAGAGATTAATAGGAGAAAACAGCTGTGAAGGGGGAAGGGAGCAGGAACAGGGGCAGAAATAGGCAGGCAGTGTCTCCTGACCCTTGAGAAAGGAGAGCAGGAAGGAAAAATTGGGTGGGAAGAGTCTCAGATTACAGTGCCCCTCTAAGAAAGTCTCAACAAGGCTAGTGGGGAGTCCCAGGCCAAGACTGCTTTTTGGAAGAGCCCTCCACTGAGCAGAAATGGGGGGACATGAACATCATAGCTGATTGAAAGGTGCAGCAGCTGGGCCTATCAGTCAATTCCTCTTCTCACAGCAGGTTCTCTTGAAAGGAGATGTGAGCCGGGCACTTCCACGGCTGCCACACAGACCTGGTTACTCCAATCTGTGGGCACTGGTCTCCATAGGTTCTGTTGACATAACGACCTTTTTCACAAATAGAAAACAGCTGCTGGCCTAGTAAGAGCCTCTAGGTGTCTGGGGCATCTTGAACTAAACTATTCCCCGTGGTCATCCCTTGGCTTTATAGCAGGACTACTACTGCCCCTGCTCTTCATCTAGGTGTTGGAAGATGTGTGCTATCACTGTTCCCAAGTGCCCGTACTGTAATTTTCATGATGTTTTCTCTGAAATTTATCCAACTCACTGCAAGTTTTAGTTATCTTTGTTCTGCATCATTGTCATTGATTGGGTGGATATTGATGATTATCTTTGCTTAGCTTCCATGTCTCATAGGCTCAGAGCAGAATCACCCAGAGATTGAGTCTGGGTGATGGAACCCCGGATCCCCAGGGCATACAGTCTAGACTTTCTCCCAATAGTCTCATCCAGATGGACTTAGCCGCAGGACAGCCTGAGAGGGAAGCAAAATTCCCCTAAAGAGAGCTTCTAGGGACCTGCATGCCCAGGAGTACCAGGTACTCTGTAGACTCCCCTACTGAGCTCTTTGTACTGCCTGGGCCCAGATCCTTCTGCAGAGGAGTCCCCATGGAAACAAAGAGAATCACAGTGTTAGTCCTGATGGTGCCGTTATGGGAGATCAGGAGGACCAAGTTTGGGCCTGGTCTTCTTCCGCTCCTCAACCCTCCAGCAGGAAAACTTTGCCGGCCTCAGCCTTTGGGCTGGGCTTGGGAGATAGAAACACATAAGGGGCTTGAGGAGCTTAGGAAGGAGGTGCCTGTTATGTTACTTCTTCCACTGGCCCCGCAGTGGCTGCTACCAGATCTGCTGGGCCACCACCTCAGGGACGATTTGCAGATGGAGGGAGCCATCCATCTCACAGCAGCCTAGGGGGCAGGAAGTCATGAAGCCTCCACTGGACCATTTTGCTGTCCTCAGCCCTGGAGAGCTGAGCTGCATCTGAAACCCCCACCAGAGCCCTAGCAGAGTCCCAAGAGTCCAAGCGCTGTGGTCAGAGGGACTATCAGGGCAGAAGAGTCCATGGGAGTCGAGTTTCAGGCTGGCCCCGAGCACAGTGATGCCAAGGTCCGCAGGCTGCCTGGAGGAGTGCACTGGAGGCAGGCCCAAGAACGCTGGTTTGGCTAGTTGAGGG